AGAGAGAGAGAGAGAGAGAGAGAGAGAGAGAGAGAGAGAGATGGGGGGGGGTCTCATTACGCGTGATCGGAAATCAAATTACCTCCCCACGAGGAACTCTTTTGTTTTTCCTCCCCCTTAACGCGGCAGCCGCGCCATTCCTCTTAGCGATCTCGTAAAAGCTTAATGAGGTGATCTCTGGCAGTGTAGTTTTACTTCTGGCCTCCCCGTTCCGCTGTTCGCCCTGATGCGAGCAGGGGAGGAAGGTGTCTGCTGCCAGGGGGAGGAGGGGGTTGGTGGCCAGGTCTACGCAGACAGTATCGGCTATACCGGGGAGTCTCGAAAGTACGTAGTAGTGTCCTCGTGCGACAGATACTCTGGGGAGCCGAGCTTGGGGGTGTGCCCACACTGAGCCGGGTCAGCCTGCTCCGGGGCTGCTCCGGGGCTGCTCCCAGAGCCCAAGGTGTGTTTTATTTCCTAATGAAGCGTCCGTCCCGGAGCCGGAGCCGGTCGGCGCCGGTCGGCACGCTCCCCTAACGACCCGAGCAGAGCGGAGCAAAGCGGGCCAAATGTTCTTAGCCGCTCCGCTCGCCGCCCCGCCCCGCCCGCGCGCCTTACAACGACTGAGTCCTTCTTTAGTATCGGCTCGTGCCCCAGCCCATCCCCGCCCGAGGCATATTGACTGCGTGCGCAGAATCGAACTGGCTGACTGGCCAGCGCGCGGCGAAAAAAAAGAAAGATAAACATGAGCGCTATGGCTCCAATTTGAAGCCCAGATTGACAAATGGCTTTTAAAGTCGTTTTCCTTGTTATGAATTAAAGAAAACACAAACTAAACTAATAACAATTTCGCCCCACAGGTAAAGGAGTCCAGAGTCAAGCCCGTCAAGCAAGGTCTTTGTGGTAAAGGCTGTCTTCATTCTTCCCGGAAAACACGCGAGATTCATCATTGAACCACGACATCTCTATCATAGTTGCCAAGACGGAGATGAACGAAGAGGGAAAGCCACCCAATAAGACATCTGTGCGCGCGTCTAGACCAAGATTGAAGGAAAAAGAAGAAAGCAAGATGATAAAAAGTAAGAAGTTATCAGAGTTTGTCTGCCCTCGAACACAACTTCTGACTCTTAAAGAAGAAAAACCGTTCAAGTGCACTGTCTGTCCGAAAACATTCTCAGAATCTTGTTCTTTTCACAAACATTTTCGCATCCACACAAGAGAGAAGACGTTCGAGTGCAGCCTGTGCCCTAAGGCGTTCATGAAAGCTGACAAACTCAAGGTACATCTTCGCACTCACACAGGAGAGAAACCGTTCAAGTGCACTGTCTGTTACAAAACATTCGCACAATCTGCTTCTCTTCGAAAACACATTCGAACCCACACAGGAGAGAAGCCGTTCGAATGCACGGTCTGTTGCAAAACATTCTCAGAATCTGCTTCCCTTCGGAAACATCTTCGCACCCATACAGGGGAGAAGCCGTTTAAGTGCACGGTCTGTTGCAAAACATTCTCAGAATCTGGTTCTCTTCGGAGACATCTTCGTACCCATACAGGGGAGAAGCCGTTCGAATGCACGGTCTGTTGCAAAACATTCTCACGCCCTGGTGCTCTTCGGACACATCTTCGCACCCATACAGGAGAGAGGCCGTTTAAGTGCAGCCTGTGCCCTAAAGCGTTCACTGCTACGTGCAAACTGCGTAGTCATCTTCGTACCCACACCAAATAAGCCGTTAGGTTTGTGGGGTGCTGCCCATTCAAATAAGACTTACAAAAAAAAAAAATCCCTATGTTCTTCACTGTTAAAAATTTCTTGGGATTTTCCCGAAGATTCACTTTTTACCACTATTA